GAGGGCATCGCCTCAGGGGGGCTGGGGTCGTGCCGGAGAGCCTCCCGCTGCCCTCTGTAGGCCGTGGGTGAGGGGGTGGGGAGAAGAAGCGCCGCTGCTTTTCTGTACCGTTTGTTCTCTCTCTTCCTGTGCATCGAGGACTCCCTGTCTAGGCTGTTCTCCCGCTGCGGGCGTGTGCAGTCTGTGCACATCAGTGAGAAGCCAGGGCCCGTAGAGAAAAAAGAAAAACTCGTGTCCAAGTTCTTCGACCACAAAACTGTGACGGTAAAGCTCGAGGCGGGGGGAATACTGATGCTTTAGTGGTGAAAATGGGAAAGGATTGCAAGCAGTGAATGGTACTATTTGGAACATGAGGTACAGAAAACTATTTGAGGGCATTGGGCGACATGATTACTTATTTAAGTTTACACTATCTTTTTTTGCTATCCCCCTGTAACTTGTGGTTTGATTTTTGTGTATTTTTATTTTATTTGTACTGCAGCTCCTTGCTGCCTCGCCAATTTCTCTGGTGTATCTGACTGGCCTTTATCTTTTAGGGATTTCAGGTAGCGTATGTGGTGTTCAGAAAGCCATCTGGTGTCCAGGCAGCCAAGGCTCTGTCACAAGAAGGTCCCCTGTTGATATCAACAGCGAGTAACCCTGTGAAAACCGGCGTTAGCAGTAAGTCAGCCCTACCTATCTTCCTGCTAGCTAGTGCCAGGGAAAAACTATACCCATTCCTCGCTGAATCCTACCCTGTATGTCCCAGATGAATTCTCACCATTTGTACCAAGCTGGGAGACATCTGGCGTTTCATTGTCCTGCTTTTATTATTCACAATGTAGCAGTCTTCTTGTATTGGATGTTGTGGTCTGGTCCAGTGACCCTGTGGGAGAAGGGGATCACTTGGTACAATGGAAGGGTAGTTTTTCTTGATATTTCTTCAGTATCACATAGACTCAGAGCAACTGGCCATGTCTTGCCTTCAAAATGGAAGTCAGACTCAATAACAGGCACTAACTGTCTGTCAAGATGAGAGCACTTCAGATGTGACCCCTTGACAGGAACATGGCCCTCAATGTTGCACTTCTTGAGCTTAAGGTTAGCCTACTCCTGCTTGGGAAAGTTGCAAACTCTTCTGATCGTTTAGCTTCCCATCACTTTACTGGCTGTGGCCTGGGCCGGAAGTCAGTTGAGCGGTGGCAGCAGGGAGGCTGAACAGCAATGGGAACAGAGTGCGTCCATCCCCACAGCGGTTCTCTCTAGAGCTGCCTGAAGGCTTCGCACTAGGGCTTGCTTCTAACAGAGGCTATTGCTGACTTCTGCCCTCTCTGTCTCAGAGTGGATTGCCAGCTATGCAGCCTCAGTTGCGGATCCAGAGGAGCTCAAGGCTGAAGTGGATGCCTACATGCAAGACTATGACAAAAGGATAGCAGAGGTGAGGGCAGGTTGGGGAGGGAACCCAGCTAAGCAGTTTGGGGAGGGGAAAGGAAGAGAGAGGATCTCTTGGTGCCCAGGCCTCATTGGAAAGGGCAGAGGGAAACATACTGGCTGTCAAGGCTGTTCTGCTCCCAGTTGTTGGTGGGCAGTCAGGTCCTGGTTTGGTCCACAACACCTGACCCAGGGCTTACAATAGGTATTCACAAAGAAATGGGGTGCTCGCTGGAGTGCAGTGTTGTGACTAAGAGTTGAATGCCTGCACCCTTGGTCCCACGCCTTCCTTCAAACCTTGTGCAGAAGCAGGAACTGTAGCTTTGCATGTGTGCAAGGGGGCTGGGGAGGTGCCATGCACTGGGCAGGCTGGCAATCCATCTGCACTGAGCTGCCTCACCCTCTTGTCTTTACAGGAAGAAGCCAAAGCAGCCAAGGAGGAAGGTGTTCCAGATGAGGAGGGCTGGGTGAAGGTAACGCGGAAGGGTCGGAAGCCCGGCCTGCCCCGGATAGAGGCTGCCAACCTGCGGGTGCTGGAGAGGGAGAAGCGGAAAAGGGCTCGCAAAGAGCTGCTCAACTTCTATGCCTGGCAGCATCGCGAGACCAAGAGAGAGCGTGAGTGTCTGAGTCTCCTCATACCCCTGCCCTTGTCTCTTGTCTCTCATACTGTGGCCCAAAGAGTGTCGTGTTTCCTTCAGTGGAGGCTACATCCAGCTGCAGTTGAACAGTTGGCTGGGTGGTTCAGCTCTTGGGGGCCCCTTGCCACCACCTGTTCTAGGAAGGGCTGCTGAAATATTGTGCAGGAGAGTGCACAGATTGTGGCTTTCTGATAGATGTTTCTTTTGCCTGCACGAAGGCAGCAATTGAAAGAGAAAACTAGCCTGTTTCCTCCCCAAGAGGGAGCTGCAGTACTGCTGGAGACGAACAGCCAGAGCCTCAGCTTGGCACTTGGCCCAGGCGCAGAAGGACCTGCACTGGGAAGTGTGTGTTTGCGGGTGTCAGGACTTGAGCCCCTCTTGATGTGTGGAAGTAAAGATCCCCAGGAGAGGGAGATCTGCTACTCCCATGCAACCTGCCCTCTTTCTGCCTATTTCAGACATCGCCCAGTTGAGGAAGAAATTTGAGGAGGACAAGCAGAGAATCGCACTGATGCGAGCCCAGCGCAAATTTCGGCCATACTAAGCTGTGCTGAGCTATTTCCTCGGATGCCTGTGCTGGAGGGAGTGGAAGAGATGCCTATGGACTCCGTGTGCCAAAGGATTTCAAGGGATTGAGGCAGCTTCACATTGTCCCTGCCCTTGGATCTGAAGTGGGAGATCCCAGCAACCACCACTGGAGAGGGAGTTTCCTTCACTAGCACCGGTATCCTCCTGCTCTCCCGGCCATCGTTTGGCCGTGTGGCACCGCTTCGCAGGGTGCTCAGGTCAAGGGGCTGAGGCACTTCCTGTGACAACCTGTATCTCCCTGCTACCCAAGGCCCTCCTAAAGCTTGGTGAAAACTGGGACTGACATAGCACAGCTTCTGCAGGGACAGGGAATGGCTGAAGAACTGTAAATAAATTGCTGCTATGTTCTCAAAACATGGGAATGCCTCTCTGTCCCCCTTGGCCCACTGTGGGGGAACAGCTTCTTGTGTACTGGGGTGGCGATTAAAGTCACAGCTTGTATCCCAGTGCTCCTTTGCACATGTTCTCTGGGGGTGAGTAAAAGAGGAGGGAAGTGACCCTGGGAAAAGCCCAGCTGGGAAGTTCCCAGACCCCTTGTCACAAGCAAAGATCAGTGGTATCGCACAGAGCCCTAGCCCTTGCCTTGGTGTGTCCCTCCCAGGCAGTTCCCTCTCAGCCAGGTGTTGAGGTGTCCAGTGTTCAGGTGTGTGCAGACTTCCACAGCCAGGGCTATGGGAACTTCTGGTGTTGGGCACCATCACTACAGCAAGGTGAGATGGCAGCCTGGCCTTGGAGGGAGAAACTAGACTCCCCAAGGCCTGTTTCCACTTAACCCATTACCAGCCAACAGGATGGCGACAGGCACATCCAGCTGCAGGGCAATGCTTTTGTACTGTCCACATAACATTTGTGCAGTTTTGGACTTCATGATTGTTCATCCCAGTGCACTCTATGGTCAGAAAGGGGCTGTAACCCACCCACCTCCAGGCCTTTACATTTATTTTACTGCCTGCAGCCTCAAAATGGGCATGACCGTGGATGTAAGGTGGAAATGCTGGTCAATTCCACAGAGCTGGGTTAAAGAAAACCCACTGCAAATGCAGCTTCCATTGCATGGGGAGACTGCCAGGCCTGCTTGCTTCAGTTGGCTTTTTGCATCCATTTAACCGGGAGGCAGATGCCCTGTCTAAAGCAGACTCCACATAAAAGTCACTGCCTCCTCGGACTGGCATTTTAGCTGCTTGGATGAGGAGCCCCAAAGAAAGGAGATTTGCTCTCCCATACAGTCAATAAGACAAAGTTAACATTCGGAGATTAATCTTTATTTAGAAGGACAAATAATCTCTGACAACTCTTCCATTACTATTAGTTGTCCCAGCTGCTTCAGCTAGAGGATTAGTGACTCATTCCCTAGGAGTTCATTAAAATGGCCTGTGCCCAGGTGAGCTCTTATTTAAGCTCATTTTTAAACAAGCAGCAACTCTTACAGTAGGACAGAGACACTGAGGCCCTCTGAGCTCAGCCACCCATGGAAGTAAGCAGAGAAGCCGAATCCTTTCCTGGGTTTTCAGTAGGTTGAATCCTGTGAGGAGACTGGTGCACCATCCTCAGGGAGGAGGCAAGATGAGCTGCCCATCCCTTGCAATGCTACAGCTGGTTTTGCTGCTGCTCCCACAGAAGATGTCTCTGCCTGTATTCCTGGTCCATTTTGGGGGGCAAGCAAGAGGAAGGCTGCTCTGGGCATCCATCCCTGTACTTGCAGAGCTGGAAGTGGAAGAAGGATTCCTTTTCCTTTTGACAACTGCAATATTCTGCTCAGCTCTCCTCCATGGAACAGCAGACCTGCTTCCACCCTACAGTAAGCTGAGGGAAGGGTATGATGAAACTGATGTTGGATGGGAGGTAAGAATGGTGACAATTCCTCCAGAGCCTGCTTTTTAGCTCCTGTTCTCGTGGATTGCTGCAGCAGTGACGGCTTCCTAGAGTCTAGGTCTGGCATTCTGCACCGTCAGGAAGTTGCTGATGATCCCAGACACCACCTCAGGCTCGTTCAGGTGCACAAAATGACTCCCAGGCACCTCTACTAGCTGGATATGCTGGAGGGAGAAGGCATGAGAAGATGTGGACCAGGAAAGTATTCCCTCAGTCAACCTGTGCTGGCTGTTGGCACTCGTGGAGGGGGAGGTGAGGCAGGACTAGGGAAGAGCTGGGTACAGAGGGCAGTACTGACTTGGGACTTTAGCAGCAGGGGCAAAGTTGCTTCCCCCTGTGTGAGGGCTATGCCCTTCAGCACAAATCACCTAGTGGGGTTTGTCCAACAAGGTGAGCTGCTTCCGAACTGCTGCTCACAGGTTGGTGGTACATAGAGATGCAAGGATGGAGTTTGCTCACCTCTTTGAGGGTAGACTCGAACGCCTCCCGTAGGGCTTTCACAAGCTTTCTGTTGTCTAGCTTGTGTGGTACAAAGAGTCCATCTTGTGCTCTGAAAAGCAACAGCAACGTTCAGTACAGCAGGTACTGTGCCTCTATTTGTCTTTGCTACTGTCCTGGGCAGAAGCAGCGTCCCCAAGACAGTGGAGCAACAGACCCAATTGCTCTTTTCAGGCTGCTCACAAATGATTGCCTAGTAGTACCAGAGTGGAGACTGGTTAAATATTGTCCTCTCAGGGCTGGCTCCTTAACTGTTCTCCCTGCTTCCCTGCCTCCACCCCATCTTCTGCTCTTAACTTTTTCCTTCTATTCTAGCCAGCTTCTACATCTCTCTGTCCCTCTCCCCCTTCCTCGCTGCTGTTTTAAACAAGGTGTGCCCTGCTTGGAGAGGGAGGTACCAGGGCAGTCCTCCTGGAGAAACCAGCATTAGACCTGCTAGAGAGTTAAGACCACACTGTCTCCTACCATGCTGGCGGTGATGGGACAAGGTGACATCCCAGGCTCAAAGGGATGTACTCTCTATGGCCTAGAGGACTTATCCTCACCATGATGTTGCACTTCTGGACAAGCAGGAAAATCCTTAAGCTCTTACAATTTCAGCAGACCAGGGAAGCCAAACTGCCCCTCATTTCTCAGCTTCTAGCACGTCCTCTCATTTCCAAGAGGGTTTTTTAACAGCACCACGCAGGGCAAGGTAGCCAGAGCCCTGTACATCGTGCCCTCCAAGGAGAGGGCAAGATGGACGAAGACTGATAGAACTAGCTACCCACCCACACAGCTCCCAGCTTGTGGGACTCTGTGCAAGCCCGTGGCAACCTTCCCACAGCTCCTCCCTTCCCCCAGGCACCCGGGGGAGAGGTTGCAAGAGCTGGGTCTGGACACAGGCTCCAGGACCAGCTGGAGGAGGTGGAGGCTGCTGTCATTTCATGAGTTTGCTCAGGCAAGAGGTTTTGGGGTCTGGAGAAGGGGGCAGGCTTGGTTGCTGTGACTGGGGGAAGAAGCAGGCCAGGAGCAAAGCGAGTAGGAGCAGTGCTGTGGAGGGTTACGTGTTTGCTAAGGCCCCTTGCTGTAGGGCCAAAGGACGGAAGGTGGGTGGGATGGGAGCGTGCAGGTGTGAGCATGGGGAGGACAGGGCAGGTCCAGCATTTCCTCTGTCAGCCTTGTACCAGGGAGGCCTAGCCTGAAAATGCAACACCAGGCTAGGAGGAGGATGTGCCAGCTGCTCTCTGCCTGCTCCAGGAGCCTGCCCAGCCCAGGGCAGTGGTAGGAAACCGGGAAATGCTTCTCACATGCAAGACTATACTGTTGTGCCAACTGGCCCAAAGGTCTGGGTGGCCGCTGCAGAGGAGCGGGTAGCAGAGGACTCCTTTCTAACCTTCATCCCCTCCACTCAGGGCTGCAGGGAGGCAGCAAGGGCTGGTTTGTTTGGCTTGTGTTTCACTCACAGAATGATGAGAACACGATCTTGAATCTTCTGCAGGAGCTTCACACACTGCTCCACTGTGAAGGACACTTCATTGTGCTGCAGGTGCAAAGATAGAGTGGCAAAGGTCAGGAACAGGAGCTGGGGCCAGAGGGTGTCCCTGACCCCTGCTGCACTAGCAGCTCTGAAGGCAGAAGTGGCTGCAGCCCCAAAGCTGCTGTGCTGAAACATGACAGGCAGCCAGGCTGCACACAAGAGTAGCTGGCTCTGCAAAGGCTTCTTCTGTCCAGCTGCATTTCAGGGCTGCCAACAACGCTGCCTGCTGGGATGCAGCACATATGGGAATGATCTCATAGCAGAGAAAAAGCTTTAAAAATCCTTTTACTAAAAAGGAGACAGTACACTACTCTGGCTTTCATAGCTTGGCAGTAGCACAGGTAGAGGAGGCCCTACTTGTTCAAAAGTGGCACAAAGCTATCAAAATACCAAACATAAGGACTTTGCTCCACTTTCTCTCCCGTTCTTATATGGGTGACCTGACAAAGAAGCTGACCAAAAGCATCCCTCTATCTGCTGCCTGAAGAGTTATAACAGCAGGAAAATGTGACCAGCAGGCCCTGGGGCAGAAGAACTGCTAAAAAAAAAAAAAAATCAGTAACATTTTCCAGTGACTCTGTAAGCTGAGTCAGTTAATGATTGAGTGCAGGCTCTTTTAACAGCAGCATTTAAAATAAGTGTGGGAATTAGGGAGGCAGAAAGTAAATGGCTGGGTGGAGGCAGGGCCTGGGCTCAGTGAGTGGGCCTCCACTGTCTCTGAGTTCTGTAAGCTCAGAAGCAGCAGGGGGCACGTCAGAAAAGCAATGCTCACCATACGGACTCTCATGTCTCTGTTGTACACCAGCCCTGGAATTAAAAAAAAAGAAGAGAAGGTTTTCATGTCTCACAGGAGCAGGAGTTGCTCTCCTTCTCCTCACCTTTGGGGTTTGCCCAAAACTTTCTGAGACAAGAGGAAGAGGATTCACTCAGGATTTCTCCTTTTTTTAATTTATTTTCCCTAGCTGTTCTACAACTCCAGCACCAAGCCCAGTTGCTGTGAATGGAGAGCTCTGCCTCCAGACTTAATTGATCCCATACAGGCTGTGCAAACGTGTAGCTAGGGCATCCTGTACCCTGCAGAAGACAATGGCTGTTGGCACCGCTCCCTTCCCACACCCAGTGTTGGGATGCCTCCTGTCTCCACACAGCCCCTTCCTTACCAGCGGGTGTCTCAGTTGCTCCTCGCTGCAGTAGGATTGCCCCACCCTCTGCTGTCAGATGTCTGTTTGCTTCTAAGAGCCTGGGGGAGACACGGCAGAGATATTGTGCTGCTGGAAAAGGGAGAAAGGGAAGCAAAAATGGCATGACAACGTGACAGCGAGCGCTCAGGCTGCTTTAGAAAAGAGCAGGAAGAAGCAGCAGCTTCTGGCAGCAGAAGCAAAAGGTCTTGCTGAGATTCCAGAGGAGGACTTGGAAGGGGAAGTGCAGGGACAGTTTCCCTTTCTCATTCATGCAGCCACAACTCTGTTCAAGGTGAGGGCAGGCAGCAATTGAACAAGACAGATGGGAGCCCACCTCTGTAATGCTGCTTCGGGGCTCCGTGCTTTGGGAGTTTGCTGCTTTGCCTCTAGACTCAGTAATCTGTCAATCACCATCCGTTTGGATTTCAGCCACTCCTCAGTGTCCTGAAACAGAGAGGTAGGGAACAGGAATAACCCCTGTCTTCTGAATCATTTTACCCCTTATCAGAGGGTAGAAGAGGACATTTCACCCTTCATCATCCCTCAGAATTGGTATGAGTTATGGACATCATACTAAAAAGGCCCATTTCTGGGGAAAAGGGAACAGCGATACTTCAAAGGCAAGGTAGCAACAGAAAGCTAAGCACTGCTGTAAATAACTTATTATCATTTTACCTTTGCACTCTTTTCTACCCCTTCCCACGTGACTTTTGAGTTGAGGACAACTGTCCAACAGAATAAGGAAAATCAGGTATCTTTTGTCTCTCTGACCCTAGGCTTCTGTCCCACTTCTGCCAGACAAAGCCCCAGCCTCTGGTAGTGATGAGGGCAGGCTGGGAATGTAAGCATTATGTCCTGCCAGGAACAGAAGAAATCCACCAATCTTGCACCCAGGTCACCCAAGCTATTGGCAAAAAGACAGCCTTGGCTGGTAGTTGTTTGGATGGACGTTCCAGTTCCCTTTGTACAAGGGCATGGTACAGACAAGTGAATTTCGGTGCTAAGGGACTGCAGAATGTGGACTACTACCCACTGTCCCCTAAGGGCCATCCTAAACAAGGACCTCAGGCTGTGCAACAAGGACCAGATCTGTGCTGGCCAAAAGGAAGAGCCCTGAGACTTGTGTGACCTGCCAGGAACTGGTCACAGCAGTGCTTTCTCTGAACAAATGAGGGGAAAAAAGAAAACCCATCTATTTTTTATTTTAAAAAGGGAGGGTAAGGACACATGAAATCTAACCTCTGGAGCTAGCAGAAAGCCAAGATTTTCCAGCAGGATCAGCTTGTCTACCATCTCAGGATAAAGGAAACAAAACTGAGGAGAGATGAAACAATGTGAGAGTAAGAGAAAAGCTGAGCATTGAGTGGTCTTCATCCTCCTACACTGAAGAGGGGGTAGTAATGGTAATCCTGGGTAATCATCTCCTCCCCCGAGATCCAAGTCCCACACAGTCTGTCCCTTCATTCCTCTCCCATTTGTTTTTCCAGCTGCAGAAATAGCAAACCCCATGAAGAAAAGATGCTTTACTCCCCATTCCTGCCACAGACCCACCTGCAAAGAAGAAAAGAGCGCTCAGTTATGCACAAGACACCCCCCGGCAACAGAAACTCCCCCACAGCAGGAGCTGCCTTAGAAGCAGAAATGCACATTGTACCAAGGGACAAAGCCTCAGTAGAGCTCTCTCAGCAGGCAGGATGCAGGCAGAGAGCCCAGCTATGGGCCAGCTGGACTCTCCATCCTGTGCCATCCCCATCTCCCTCTCGGGCAGCAAAGGCCAAGGAGGAGTTACTAGTTAAAATGCTGTGGTGCACAGGTCCAGTGAGCTGTGGCCAGAGCAGCCCTGGGGAGCAAAACCCAAATCGTGGCAAAACCCAACTGCATCCTAAGCAGAACGGGATAGAGCCTGGAGTCCAGTTCCCCTCAGCAAGGTCTGTGACCCACCAAGAAGGGCCCTGCTGTGCCCAAGCTTTCTGGACTTGTGGTGACCAGGCAGGAAGGCCTGCTGCAAATTCTCCTGCTGTAGAACACCCCTCTTTGCCCATCAGTGTTCCCTTTTGGGGCTGGGGGAAAGGCCCACAGCAAGAGTTGCCACTGTTTGTACTACAGGGCAAGGATTTTTGAATCACTCAAGCAGGAGCCTGGTACTTGACACAATATAATATTCCAACCCAGCTCCTAGCAGCATGAGTTAATTAGCTACTCCTATTTTCACAAATCTCATAGTTTACAAGGACAAGAGCCACTTACCCATACTGTGACCCATCAGGGTGAACCGTCTCCACTGCAAGGCTAAGTGGCAACAGACAAAAACAGACAGTGCTGCATTAGAAACCAGAGCAGCAGCATCTGGCTGCTTCTCCACCAACACGGGCCCCTTTCTCCCGGAAAGGCTTTTGCACTGTTTAATCTGCTTCCTAATCCAGAAATGAGATAGCTAAGTAGGCCAGTTACCACCACCTCATTTCCTTGGTAGTTAAGTCACACAGCTCTCACACTCTCCCTGTGTAGCAAACAAACTACAGCAAATTCCCATTCACTGCCAGACACGAGACTGGCAAGAAACACAGGAGCCTGACTGAGCAGCATCTGCTGGAAAAGAGAGACCTCAACAGAGCATCCTGCTGCAGGGCATTCCGAAAGAGCCATAAGGACACAGAGCCAGGTCCGCTGCCTTGAGAAAAGTATGATTATTCCAACTGAAGCTCTCTGCACCATTTAGCACATCAGGCATTTCAGTCAATTTTTAGGGCACTCCGAGAGGCTGATGGGAAAATACCACTTCATCAGCACTGCCCATTTGCAATATACCTCACTGAAAGATGTGTTTTACTCTCTGGCACGTCAAGGAACTTCTAGAGGCTTTTTGTATGAGGGATGTATTTTTGAATGAGGGATGGCAAAACTGCACAGGCCACAGCCTCCCCCAAGATCAGCATACAGATGGGCAGTTAGATCAGGAATTATTTTAGGAGACCAAGACACCTTGGGTTTCAGATTGTTTTGTATGGTACTAAAGCAAGCAGCAAGCTGCCATTGGGGTGAACCAGAAGAGTCTCCAACTTATACCTAACACTGGTTAGAGGTCACTGGCTGCTTACAAAATGTCAGTCTGGCAAAACTATTTAGTTGCATCAACCACTTCACCACTACTGCTTTTTAGTACAAAAAAAACTGGCTTCCCAGGGCTTACTGTTTCTGCGTCTCACAAAATAGTGAGAAAGAGGGATGCCTATTCAGTCAGTGGTCACAAAGCACCAGCTAACATCAGACTGGGGAGAAGCAGAGGGAACTGACCCCTCTCCTGGCAGTAAATGCTGCCTGCTTGTTCCAAGGAGCAGAAGCAATACAGCACCCCCTGTACACCCTGCACAAACATCCCCTCAGTGGTCCCTTCAACTGCTCACCTGCTGCCACCCGGCACACATCGGTCACATAATCCAGAAAATGGTAGGGGGAGCCTGCAGGTCGGTGGGATGACAAGCCGTGTCCGGAAAAATCCATTGCCACATAATAGCAATCTGAAAGGGAGAGACTATCAGATACACAGCCCTGCAATACAACATGAACCATCCTGATGAACCAGACCTACCTCTGGGGAGCAGTGGAATGAGCTTGTCAAACGTGTTGGCATTGTCCAGCCAGCCGTGCAAACACAGCACGGGGTGTCCCTCTGAGGGTCCCCAGGCCTTGGCTGCCACGTGACCCCAGGGCACTGGGAACTTCAACTCTGAGAACATGCCCAAAATAGAGTACTCGCAAGTGATGTCCCTGGAGAGACACGTGCACAGAGTAGGTCCCAGGGATCTTGTTAACAGCCTAGAGCTCTGAAGAGAGTAATACAGGTCTTTAGTAACTCACCAGCCTCCTGTGGTCTTAATTAGCAGCTTGCTGATTTATAGCTCCCCATTCAACATCCCAAGCTGCCGTCCCTGCCTGCCTGTTTGGGGAATCTTCCTCCCAGAACGTACTAGCG